TCTTTATTCAGGAGAAGCATACAGCACCATAGTTTGTTGAGTCTAATTCTACGAAGCAAACCCTTGTCCTTTTAAGCCCAAATTCCCCCCCTTCCAACTTTTCTTTCCCGCTTGAAACTCTTTGTGCCTTGCCCCGGTTCTCACACCTCTTGGCCTTGGTTGCCTGTGTCAAGATAAAGATAACGGCACCTGGCCTTCTCTCCCCGCTTTTTATGGCAGGTCAAGCAAGCGGTTTAGAATAACATTCCCACCATTCCACTATTCACCCATTGATATATACTTAGCAATAAAAATAAAAGCAATAAAAAAACAATTGAAGGTTCTGGCTTGCGTAGATCCTGACATATGCTGCATATAAATAATATAAGCACATAGATTGGTCATATAGCATGTGTTTTTTCTGGGGATATGGGGGATTTTGGAATAAGAAAATCACATGTAATTACTTTGCCTAGATCAGCCTTTCTCAACTTTTTTACCCTGGAAGAACTCTTGAAATAATTTTCAGGTCTCAGGAAACCCCTGCATAAAAATTGCAAAAAATAAGAAAAAAATTCACAATATAATTTACTTCTGACCTACACAATCCATGTTTTGTAACATTTATTGCAACAGCAAGCTGGTAGGCTGGCAGCTAAATTGTGGCTTGTGAAAATTCCTAGCATTGTGCAAGTGCAAAATTTATAATTACAATCACAATCTCTCATGGAACCCCTAGGGACCTCTCAGGGAACACCAGCATTCTGCTGAACCTCAGCTGAGAAAGGCTGGCCTCAGTGGCTTCGCTGTAGAGCATTGTTTCATGAAACCTGACTTCCCAATCGCTGCAACTAACACTTGGTGTTAGTTATCTGATGAAGCAATTATAATTCTTGTATATAGGATGAAGTTTATGACTCACAAAATGTTTTGCAATGGGCATAGATAATTTGATATGTCCCAATTTTCAGATTCAACTCAGTTTTGGAATTGCAGTTCATGTGCTGGTGAATGTCCTATGAGCCATCAGTTTGGCACTCACTTTTAGTGGCTACATAGACTTTCTTCAGAATAGTCTGTGCCCAGCCTGGTCCTTCAGATCTTCCAACGATGATAAGTTTAAAAGTCCTACCACCTTGCTGCTGATCTCTTCCTTTTCCTTCCATCATTTCCATTATTATGGACTTTCAAGGAGCTGGATCTTTGCATAATGTGACCAAATATGATAATTTCAGCCTGGTTATGTATGCCTTCAGTGAGAACTTTGTATTGATTTCTTTGTCCCTTTTATATGTTAGAATTATTGGTTTTCCCCCTTCCTGCTACCCCCATCCCCACACTAATTCCTGCATTTATAGCAAATAAGAGCAGTTTACTTAAAATGCTACTATGTTTTGAGTCCTATGTATAGCCTTAGAGCACCAGCTCAGATTCATCTTTCACAGTTAGAAAGTCTGAACTTGGTCCACACTTGGGTGGGAAAATAGTCTGGGAAAATAGTTTACATTGTTCTCAATGCAATGTATATTATAGGTATAACAGGAATGTATGTAAAAAAAATTCACATAAACCATCCTTTTCCATATCATTTTCTGAAGGATAAGATGATAACACTTAATTCAGATGTTTTATTATATAAAGATAGCCATCATCTGTTAATACCAGACTCAAAAGTTTAATGGTTAAAATGTCTCAGCTAAGTTTTTATCATAGAACATGGGCTCATGGAGTGCTTTAGTATCTTCTTAGTTCAGTAAACTTTATAACATCTGGTAAAAAATTCAGGACCTTCATTTGCATTGCTATATACTGGCATATAGGAATTATCAGATGTTCTTTAGCGTCATGTTAAGTCCTCTTTTTTAGACTGCATTAATTTCTTATGCAGAATTGCAACTTCTGTAGCAGGCAGGCTGGTTTCCAGATCTCTATATCTAGAAATCCATTTTTCTAGATGCTGCAAAAATTATTTATCTAGAATTTGGATATTGATGGAATATGGGAAGAAGTAATTACATTCCACAACACTGTCTGACTTTTTATTACTTATCCCATTATTTTTGTGCAGAGTCCCATAAGACTTTTTGTGATGTATTAATGATGTTATTTGTTATAGACAAGACCATGGCGTCTCTAGACCTTAAACACCAAAAATTTAATTATCTGAGTTATCTCAGCAGTCAAAAGGAAAGTGGCAGGGAGAAGTCAGACCATACAAACTGTCCAGATACAGAAGCATTCAAACCTATTGTGCAGATGACTCCATAGTATAGTCTATGTTACACAGAGCTCTCCAGATATGATTTCCAAGCACCCAGATCTTGATATGTATGTATAGCATAGCACCTGGATATGATTAAGGCTTGACCACATCAGATAAATAATCCACTTTTATCCAAAATTCACTGGGCTTCCTGGAACTTATAAAGATTTCTCTTGGATGGATTCCCTTGCTTTTCCTCAGAAGTCTTTTATTTCTTTGTTCTCTATTTATAATTCGTATTCATTGATTCATACAGTGACTCATCTGGACCTCCTTCAGATAAGAGTTCCTTGTTGTTGTTGTTCATTACTTTCTTACACATCCTGCCTAATAAAACAATCATCCTGAGAATGAACATCTTCTTTTTATTGGATCATACGAATATAATACAGTATTTTATTGAATCTTTCATGCAGTGTGCCTCTGTCTTGCTTTTATAATATAATCTCTATTCTACTCCTTTAATGGGTTTTTCATTCCTGTTAATAAAATATATTTTGGATAATATCTAGGAGCTTTATCCCATAAGTAGCAAAGATAAAATTGTAATATCCTGGTAGGGTTTTAGCTAAACAGCACCCATAAAACTTTTTCTATGAATTATGTGCTCACAAACACGAAATTTACATCATTTATACCATGTGCATTTCAAAAATGAATAATCTGAATTTAATATATTATTGATTGAAAGTGTTTAATCAACTTAACCCTCATTAGCCAAAAAGGCTTTCATAGTAGCTTATTGTTACCCTCAGGGTTACAAAAAATATGACATACCAAAAATGGATGGGAAAGGAAAAGAGGACAAGCAACTTCAAGTGCCAGTTTTTAAAATTATTTTTAAACAGTCCCCACACTTCTACTCAGAAATTTTAATGCAGTCTTTCAGTTAGCTCCAAATAAACAACCTGTTTATTATGTTCTTTGAACAATGTCTTCTCTTGTCCCCAAAATGCAGATCACTGGAACTCTCTGTTATAGAATTGCTGATTTTTAAAAATTATTTCTTTGTCCTTTTTGTTTTCAGGGATAATTCGTTTGAGGGATGGATTTCATGATCGTTACCCTGTGAATGATTACCTGGATCTGTTTGATTTGGCTGCCCATCAGATTCAAAATGTGCTACAGAGAGATTCTGAGAAAAGCTATGAAAAGAGGAGCAACATCGTTATTGGTACAGAAATTGTTGCTTAGGATGGCATTTCCCAAACTGGGGTCATCTAGCTGTTTTAGATCTCACATTTGAAGAGCATTACTTTGGAAAAGGCTGATTTATAGAATTTCTATTCACACTACTAGTCTTGGTAGGATTTATGGTTACCGGTGTCGAAATGGGAATTCACACATATTCTTTACATCTTAGCAGTACAGGTAGTTCTCACTTAATGACCACAGTAGGGACTGGAAAATTAGTAGTTAAGCAGGGTGATCATTAAGCGAGTCACCACAGACCATACCTGATTTTACGACCATTTTTACAAGGCTCATTAAACAGATTACTGCAGTTAAGTCATGTGGTCTTTAAGTGAATCACATGGTCATTAAACGAATACAGCTTCCCCAATGGACATTTTTTGCCGGAATTCACTTAACGACCTTGTGATTCACTTAATGACCACGTGATTTGCTTATCAACCATCATAAAAAAGGTCGCAAATCGCAATCACTTGACTGTGGGGGGTGGTGCAACAGTTTGTAACGGTCATAAGTGTGAGTACAGATTGCAAAGCACTTTTTCCAAGGCCATCGTAACTTCAAATCATTGTAAAACAGACAGTCATTAAGCGAGGACTACCTGTATACTAATCTAATACTGAATCTAAATCAAATCAATATTTGGTGTGACTACCCTTTGGCTTCAAACCAGCATCAATTC